GAAATATTTTACGTAATGCAGGTTCTTTACAATGGTCTATTAGTGATTTGGGATTGAGTGGACCAGTTGACAAACCATTAAATAGTATATATGGGAATCTCCCATATATTGCTCCTGAAGTTCTTTGTGAAAAAAATTATACTAAAAAATCAGACATATATAGTATTGGTATTTTAATGTGGGAAGTAATAACTGGAAAAACTCCCCATGGCGACCGTAAACATGATTCATATTTAGCTTTTATTATAGTCTCAGGATATCGACCAAAGATCTATGAAACTATTCCACTAGAATATGCAACTTTAATGAAACAATGTTGGGATGCTAATCCTGATAATAGACCTGATGCAATTACACTTAAAAAAAAAATAAGATTATTAGTAAAGTCATTATATGAAGAACTGGATAAACAAGAACCATTTATTCAATCTAAAAATTTCTCTACAAAAAATGAGGATAATCAAGTAATTAAAAATACTCGATCCAGCGAAAACAAAGGAAGCAAAATTTATAAAACTCAAACCAGTAAATTACATACATTAAACCTTCCCATTCAACCTAAGAATGCTACTGAAGGTAAATATATTTTATAATTTATCCTTTTTATTGATTTTATTGTATATTTTTTAATTATTATTTTTTTTTAACATTTATAGAAGAACAACATTGTAAGTTAACTTATTCTAAATGCCTAATGAATCTTTATCTTAATTTATATTAAAATTATCTATCTATACGTTTAAATATATAGCTTATGAAACTAAACAATTTGATTTTGAAATTACTAAAGGTAAAATTTTATTCATTATATATTATAAATTATATTTATTTATGAAATTTAATATGAAGTTTATTTTATTTTATGATGCAATTATAGAAATGGAACAACTGTGTGATAATTCCAATAAATCATGTGGTAATTAATAATATTTTATTATTTTGTATTTACGTCATTATATTTTTTTTAATTTTTTTAAATTATTTAGCTGATGAAGAATGTGAGATTGCTGATCCTTCGAATTCAGGTTCACAATCTTGTTGTTGTCGATTACAGTGAACCCTATAAATGCATCCTCTATCTATAAATGCACCCTACCCGTCTACTTATAAGGGATTTATAGAAGGTTTACTGTATTTTATTTTATAAATTTATTTTCAAAAGAATATGCAAAAGAAAAAATGATTTATTATTTGATAATTTATAAAAAATTGAAACGAATTCAATTTTAGCACGAGTACTATTCACGATAATTACTTATTGGTGATATTCTAAGAATTCATATATTCTTTCTTGTTTATTTATTATTTTAACTCATGAAAAATTTTTGGAATTTCAAAAATGTAATAAATCATAACAATTAATTATTTTTCACGTCATTATATTTATTTATATTGTGAGAATGCTGGTCTTTCGAATCAAAGAAAATTGATTTATTATAAAACTTTTTATTTATTTTCATATTTTTGTATTTTTTTTTGTTATAAAATATTTATTTTTTATTAATAAATAGTTATAATTTAGAAATTCTCACCGTAAGGGTGAACCAGCCAATAAGGTAAATTATCAAAAAATCATCATACAAGTTCACTCTATATCAATCTCCTTCCTTGAAATTATCAATCAGCAATTAAAGCTGATGGGAAAATGATGAATTATTAGGAATAGAGTAATATCTGATTATAGACAACGACTGAATCTGATCCTTAAATCTTCTTTACTACTAAAAACAAACATGTCAAAAAATTAAACCTCTTTTAAAATACTAATAAAAGTAAAATAAAACATATTCGATTTACCCCTCTCCATTCCTATCACTATCTTTTTAGGCGTATTTCTACTACACCTACGTGGTATTTATACTTTAATCCGAAATATACCGGCAGATATCGGTGCTACAAGGATAATAAAAACGCACATTATATTATAGTCCAGAGCCAGGGCTTTCGATCGGTCATAAGAATACCTTAATAGAAAAGCGTTCATCTTCTCACAAATCGCGATCGAAGTCAAAAAACGAAATTTTTTTGGCGTAAAAATTCTAGAAAAATTATGGAAAATTTCGCGGCAAAAATTTCCGTAAATTTTATTTTCTATTAAGGCATTCTTATGACTCTGGTTCTTGGCGTGTTTCATCCCTGTAGAATCAATATCTGCTGAGATATTCCGGGTTAAAGTCAAAACGTAGGTGTCATAATATTACGGAGATTTGCACCTGATAAACCTTATTTAGTCTTAAGCTTTAATTTTTATATACTAATAAAATGCGTATAAATATATATACTAATAAAAATAGGCATGAATATACTGTACATACTAATAAATAAGTGTGAATATACATGCTAGATGTGAATATATCTGATTAATTTAATTTAGGAAAGTTTAGGACGATTTAGGAGGTTTAGGAGGTTTAGGATAGTTTAGAAGTTTGGGAAAAGGGTGTAGGACCAAGATAAAATTCCAAAAGGTCTAGGAATTCATAATAGGTTCCCCACCCTTTACTTGTATAACAGAAATCAGGAGATTTTTTTATTGAATTTTATTTTTAACGTATTTATTTGATTTCATTTCAACCTAGGAACCATAGATGGTAAATATATTTTAAAAATTTTATCCTTTTTTTTTATTAATTTATTTTATATTTCATTGATTATTTTTAATTAATTTTTTCATCTTTATCACTCAATCTATATGCTTACGAAAACTCTATATTAAAATAATATACGTGTTTTTACGGATTCTGATCAATTTGATTTGGAAATTACCGAAGGAAAATTATTTTTTATCGTATATTATATTTATTTCTGAAATTTAATAATGAGGTTTAATTAATTTATTTCATGATGCAATTATAGAAATTGAACGAATGTCTTAAAAGAGATAATTCCAATAAATCATGTGGTAATTAATTATTTTGTATTACGTAATTATATTTTTTAAACTTTTTTTATTTATTTTAGCCAATGAAGAATGCGCTGGTCTGGCTCACAATTTCAAGATTATAGAAAATTAATAATAATATTATTGTTATTAAAATTTGTATTTTATTATTATTACCAAACTTCGTATTTATTATTTTCATATTTTTTTTTTTTTTTTTAGTTTTTTGTTAATTATTTTATTTTATTAAATTTATTTATCAAAAAATATATACAAAACAAAAAAAAAATGATTTATTTTTCATTTTAAAATATTTATTATATAATTTATAAAAAAAAAATTGATATTCACGATACTATATCACTCTCGATGATAATCTAAGAAAAGAATTAAAAGTTGTCATATATTTTTTCATTTGCTTATTTATAATTTTAACAGATAGTATTGGGGTGGAAAATTGTTTAATTCTAATTTTTTCCAATAATTAAAATATTCTCAGAAATAGAACAGCAGAGAAATAAAGATCTTTTGAAATAATATAATTATACTATTGCAGATAAATTCTGCGTTCATTAAATAAGCTTAACTTTCTGCGCATATACATACATACAATTGTTAAACAATAACGCCATATTCATAATCAATTTTGTTTAATAAGTATTATTGAAAAATTCTTAAATTAGAAAGAGATGTCAAATTATTCAGAAGTCAAAATATACCTACAATGAATACCTTTTTTGGTTAGCAAAATCTTCATAATTTATAAATCTTTCGTTAAATTCATCTACTCTGCTGCTAGATTTAATGTTTTCTTCATTATACCAAATCCTTTGCCCATTGTTATTTTCGTGTCATGAACTTCTGTAAAAATATGATGTCGCGGACACTTTCTAAATAAGAATAATCAATTTGAGTAAAACTTTCAACCAAATTAAATTAATGAAATTGCATATAAATCAAATACCAACGTTGTGATATGAGTCCAATTACCGATTGAACAAATTCGAGATCTAAATCCGAAATTACTATAAAAATGTGCAAAAGAAAAATACCCTTCTTAAGTGCATTATTTGTTACTATAAACAGATAAATAAATAACATTACTTGTCTAATAATTATAATTTATCATAATCATACGACATAATAAGTGTTCATCTTTAGTAATTGAATAGACGTGTCAAAGTTCTTTGACTCTTTCTTTGTTGAGATTAACAATAAAATGCTCTAGTTCAATTGCCCAAGCATCAAACATATTTTTTTCCACTTGTTGATTCGATAGTATACTAAAATTTAATTTATTAAGTTAAATTATTAAATATTATAATTATATTAATTAAAATAAAATACCTTATAATTTGTAAAGGTATTTTATATAGTGGAGACTAGAAAACTTGAACGGGGAGATTATGAGTAACAAAATCTTGCTTTGTTTTTTTCAATATGTAGATTTTTGAGAAAGTGAAAAATCAGTGAACTTTTATTGAGGTAAGTGGCACTTTCCTAACATTTTTAAAAATTCGCGAAAGATAAAAAAATTTCGTGTAAGATAGAAAACAATCTGAAGATCAAGATTATTATTCTTACATTTTTATTTAGTAAAAATGATTTTAATTAACGGATAAAGCTCTATTTAAATGCTTTAATTACTTTAATTAAATCATATATGGAGATATAATATAACACAAATATTATTTCGATCTATGCACTCAGCATCACTTACATATCGGATATAACCTGACCTATTATCTTATTTTATCATCAAAATATCTCTGATATATAATATTTAACTTTGCTTAGCGTGCCATAATATTCAGATATCTTTTGAATACGGTAAATTATTTTAGTCGGTTTAAATTATTTAAATTAATAAAGATTTGAGTTTTTATTATAATACAAAATAACCAATAATATCATTAATTTATGAAAGACGTCGAGTGAAAGATATAATTACATTGAAAGGTATCAGATGAGATGAATTGTTAAAAAATGAAAAATTATGAAAATCATGAAAATATGGAAACAAACAAGGAAATTAATAAATCGGAAAAATAATAAGTAATGATAAAAAGATAGGTGATAATAACATTCGTCGCTCAGGTTTCGGATAACAGTAGAAGATTTATTAAACATATTGCCAACTACATTTGGTGCGACCCGTTAAGAGACCGACTAATTTTTTGAATGCGGCAGCTAAATTATTTAATAAAATTAATTAATTAATGAAATAAGATTAGTATATAAATATATTATAATATGTGTGTATAATAAAAAAACAATAATAATAATACTTACGAGATAAATCAATAGAATTAGGATTACAGTCTTCACAACGATCCACAATTTTAACAATAACAGATTTTGATCCACGAGTAACTTTTACACGCTTTCCACACTTTGTGTTCCTATTCGGATTACCATTTGGAGTATATTTATCAAACTGAGCTTTAGGTAATGCACAAGCTAATTCATTATCATTATTGTATGTTCCGCAAGAACCCAAACCGAGGTTGTACCAAGTCATATCACCGTAGTAAGCTCTTTTAGAAAGATTGGAAGTAACATTTTCAGTAGTATTACCAATAGGAGCAGAATTAAAAGAGTCAATGGTGAAAGTCAAGAGAACGACGATCACCATAACGAGGAACATGAATTGAGAGCCGGTGAGAACTGAGGACATTTTTTTTTATGTTTTTGATTTGCGGTATAATAGATGTATTCAAAAAAAGAAGACTTTAAAATTATCAAAAATTTAAAGAAATGATGATTTTTTTAAAATTTTTTAGGAAGGAGTTGTTGTTAAATCAAATCAAGCTTTGAATTTAATTACAAGTAAAGGGAAAAAAAGAAATTATTTTAAATACAAAAGTTTGATGAGAGAATGTGTTGTTTGAAAAAGAAGAAAAATTATTTTTTTTTTTAGTGATAATAAAAATCTTATGTTGCAAATTTAATAAAATTTATTAAGATTTTTATTGATTTTTTTTTTTTTATTTTAAAAATAAATTTTTCTTTTCTTTCAAACGTAGATTTTATTTATGTATTTACGTGGTTGGTTGATATTGATGAAAAACATAATAAATAATTGGAAGCCAAATTTTCGTCGTTTATATAGAGAAAACAAATTGTAGATAATCAAACGATCAACATAATATATTAAGAGAATAATAAATATGTGCGAACAATGAATGCTTGTAACCAGTTTGTACATTGTTGCTCTTATTATTTATTTATTTTTATGACTGTTTATAAATTGATGACTGATGATTTATCCAGTTAGAAAGTGTGAAAGTTCATTGTGAACGGAGACATGTTGGTGAATCAACATATTTTGTTTAAGGAATTAAGAATTTCTATCAATACAGTATAAATATAGTATCGTATAACAAATAATAAATATTCATTTGCTTTTATTTCCAATTAAATCTATCACACGTTTCAGGTTATCCATTTTGGGTGATAAATACGCAGCCATGCATCATATCGTATCAATAATTTCGATGCTTCAAACATTTGCGAAAGATGTTAATAAATGACTAGTAAAGAACTTATTAAAGCATTGAATTGGTAAAGGGGTAACTAATGAACTTTCGGAAGTATCTTGACATTCATCCGACATGAATTTCATAAAGTTCCTTTTGTTCTTTGTTGATTTTATTTATTGATTTTTGTTTTTAAGTTATAAAAATTTTGTAACAAATTGTGTCAGAATAGATTAGCATTTTTGTTATTGTTATACGTTTCCATACTCTCCAAACCTCTGATAACTACCGAGCCAAACACATGCACTTTTATTGTACTTGCGATCGCTCTTCCAACCAGGTAGTATCACCGTTTGAATATTGATTTTTATTAAATATCCTGCCAATTTATCATTCCAACTGCTTAAATTTAACAATTGGACATATTGTGCAGTGTTTGAAATTCAATGTGCGGAATGTGCGCTAGCACAAAATTTGAAAACTCCACACGTAAAAAATGCATCCGCACAAGTTTTACTTACAGAGTTCTAAATTGTGTACATTCCGCACAAGATTTAAAATTTGACTTTCAAACACTGATATTGTGGCGCAATGTACTTAATTAATAAAGATTTGAATTTTATTATAATATCAAAATAACTATTAATTTATGTATTTATAAACATAAATCTTCATGAGTGAAAAATGTAATTATGAAATATGAATTATTAAAAGATAAACAAGCAAGGAAATTAATAAATCAAATATCTTCCACGCTTTTTTTAGAAATAAAAAAAAAATTCTTTTCTAAAAGGAATAAAAGATAGGTGATAATAAAAATTCGTCGCTCAAGTTTCGGGTACAGTAGAAGGAAGATTTATTAAATATATTGCCAACTACATTCGGTGCGAAGCTCTGAGAGACTGGCTAATCTCTCGAATGCGTTAGCTAAATTATTTAATAGAATTAATTAATGAAATAAGATCAATAAATATATTATAATATGTGTGTATAATAAAAAAAGAAATAATAATAATACTTACGAGATAAATCAATATTTTCAGAATTACATCCTTCACAACGATCCACAACTCGAACAACAACAGAATTCTCACCGTGAGTAACCTTTACACTCCTTCCACATTGTGAGTTCATATTTGGATTACCACTTGGAGGAGTATAAGGATCAAACTGAACTCTAGGTATAGCATAAACTAATTCATATCATTATTGTATAATCCACAAGCACCAAAACCTTGGTGGTACCAAGTCATATTACCGTAGAAATTTCTTGGACTTATGCTCTTTTAGTAAGATTGTTACTATTATATTCATTCACATATTTAGTAATAGGAACAGAATTAAACGAGACAATAGTAAAAGTCAAGAGAACGACGATCACCATAACGAAGAACATTAATCGAGAGCTGGTGAAAACTGAAGACATTTTTTTATGTTTTTGATTTGTGGTATAATAGATGTGTTCAAAAGAGAAGACTTTAAAATTATCGAATTTTAAAGAAAAGATGATTTTTGAGTTTTTAGGGAGGAGTTGTTGTTAAATTAAAGCAAGCTTGAATTTAATTACAGGTAAAAGAAAAAAAAAGAAATCATTTTAAATACAAAAGTTTGATGAGAATGTGTTGTTTGAAAAAGAAGAAAAAATTCTTTTTTTTTATTGATAATAAAAATCTTATGTTGTAAATTTAATAAAATCTATTAAGATTTTTTATTGATTTTTTTTTATTTAAAAAATAAACTTTCCGTTTTTTTCAAATGTAGATTTTATTTATGTATTTACGTGGTTGATATTGATGAAAAACATAAAAAATAATTGAAGCCAAATTTTCGTCGTTTATATAGAGAAAACAAATTGTAGATAATTAAACGATCTAACATAATATATTAAGAGAATAATAAACTTTAAGAAATATTCGCGAACAATGAGCATGCATATTATTGCTCTTGTTTTTACCATTAATTAATTTATGACCAAGTAAACAACACCGTTAATTAATTTATGACCAAGTGAAGAAATAATTTATCCAGTAAGAAAGTGGAAAAGTTTATTGTGATTTCAAAGAGAAGTTTTCAATGGATCGAATTTGTTTAAGGAATTAAGAATTTCTGAAAATTAAATGTTTACATTTGACATCTAATCAATAATAATCAACAATCAACACAATATAAATATAGTATATAATATCAATAGATTAAAATAATTTCGATCTATATATTCATTTACCTTTGTTTAAATTTGACATCTAATAAACTTTCAATCAATATGAATATAGTATGTAATGTCAATAATAACGGATAATAACGTTTTTGAGTGACAAATACGCAACCATGTAGTCATATTAAATGGGATTTAAAATTATCAATATTAATTAATTTCCATGTTTCGAACATTTACGGAAGACGTTAATAAAGGACTAGTAAAGAACATATTGAAATAATGAATTGATAAAGATCATTGAACTATTGAAACATTATTCAGAATTGGGGTAACTAAAGAATTTTCGGAAGTATCTTAACATTCATTAGGTATGAATTTCATGGTTTTTTTTTTTTATAAAGTCCGGCATGAATTCGAATTTTTGATTTCATTGATTTTTTATACGAATCACCACCAGGCTAATTGCAACACAAGAATAACAAATTTTTTTATACTATATTTTTGTTGAGAATTACCGTACATATATGATGGTTTTTTTTCTATTGATTACATTTTAATTATTTTTATATTATTTTTTTTATTTATAAAATTAATTTTTGGATGCAATTATAAGTGGAACAACTGTGTGATAATTAGTTGTGGGATCCGTTTAAAATCTATCCGAATATCCGAATATCCGCATGGATATTCATATCCGTGATAAAGCTCATGGGTAATCCATCAGTGCATCCAGTCTATAACCAAAAATTTTAACACTAAAATAAGACCAACTTTAAAAGACTAAGGCTTGTGATACAGACTTAAAATAGAAATTTTATCCAATAATTATGATAGACATTAACTTGCTCTTTCAGAATTATTGGTTTAAATTTTATAAAATTTATTTTTGATGAAGCTATTAACATTTGAAGTCAGGTGAATTACATATAAAAAATATATAAAATAAAATTGGGAATATATATAAAAATAATAAAATGTTATTTATTCTATCTAAAGGAATCTTTTAATTCATTATAAATATTATCAGGTACTCTTCAATGTGATTTATATTTTTTTTACTGCAAATTCTGCCAATTTACCTGTTAAACCTTTTCTATATGCATTCATATATCTTTGAGATTTTTGTGCAAATTTTCTAATCATAATTAAAGGTACAGAATCTAAAGTTTCAGGAAGGTTTTTTGTAACCCAACCCATGTATAATTACAATATTCTCATATGAATCTTTTAGCAGCTCCCCAATACATTTCAATGTAGTTTAATTCACAATGAAATTTAAGATAAAAAATACATTTGTGACCTCTTTCTTCAATTTCTATTTCAATTTTCAATTTTTGGTTTTTGAAATCTGATTGCATTGATAATAACCTACGTGCACAACAATTTGTACATGTTGAATCATTTACTCTATTTTTTCCTTTACAAAGATTACAATCAAGCTTGAATTTTTTATTATTTGTTGGCCATAAATCTCGCTCTACTAATATTTGTTTAATTCCTTTTGGTTTATTAGGATGAATTGAATGATTTGGTAAAAAAATTAAACTTTTATAAGTGTTGTTTGATCCAAAATAAGTATCATGCATTAAAGGTCTTTTTCCTCTAGGTAAAAGGTTCATTCTATTTACATTTAATCCATCAACTGGTATTGCACCATAATTGGTACTGTTGTCAAAAGCAAAAATAGCAATGGCATTAGGATACAATGTTTCAAAAATAGGGATTGAATAATTTATAATTTGATCAAGAAGATGATCTGAAGTCCACCAACCCTCTTCATTTTTTCCTGGTTTTAAAAATTTTCTTGCTTCTAATAGAATTGTTGAATTATTTTGAATTGCTGTTTCATTTAATTTAAGATAACCAATAGTTTCTAAAGAAACTCACTAACTATTATTGATTTTCTTTGTCTTTTTTTTTGTAAAGGAGGTTCACCAATAGGAGCCCAAACAATTGGTCAATCATAATTGGCATAAAATAAACATTTATCATGTGTAATTAAAATATGAAGTTGTTCATTTTGATTCAAGTTTGATAGAGTTTTATCCATATTTTCACCATTATAAGATGGCATTAACTTTTCAAAAATTTTCATTTTTTAAGAAATTCTTCTCTATAATCAATAACATTTTGCCTTTTGTGACTATCAAAATAAATACCCTTTTTTTTAGATTGAGGTTTAAGTCCAAGTTTTCGTAATAAAATACCTACTGTATTAATTGAAATGAATTTTTGTGATGTACTAAGACCTATTTGAATAATTAATTTAGTTTGAATAAATGTTTGATATTTTTTGGATGTAGTTTTCCTTTATTTTCACATATATATTCCAAACTTGCATTGATAACATCCCTCATCATCAATTAATGATTAGTTTTTTGATGATATCTTATAATGAAATAGGTAATATACCATTTTGTAACCAGAAGTTTTCTCATTCTCAAATTTTAGTTGCACACCAAGAACCTTTGTTATATATTTCTCTTACTGATTTTATACTTGCATCAGTTTTTTCTATCCTTTTTCCAATAATCAAAATATAAATGTACAGCATGATGACAAAGATAATCATATGCAGTCTGTATTTTTTTATTTTTCATTAGAATTGATTCTAAAAGTTCCAATTTTTGTTTAAGGTTATCATCATTACTGTTATTATTAATTAAATCATTATTATTTTCATTATAATCATCATTATTTTCACAATCATCACTATTATAATTATCTTTGCTATTGTCATTATTATCAACTTCATCATCATTTCTATTATTATCATCTTCACCACTATAATCATCACTATCACTATCATTATATTTATTTTTGCTATCTTTATCTTTATTATCATCTCCACCAACATCATTATTATTATCATCATTATTATCACCTTCATCATCTTCACTATCATCATCATCATATATATTTTTGCCATCAAATTCATTATTATTATCATCACATTTATTTTTGTCATTATCTTCACTGTCATTATATTTATTTTCACCATCACCTTAATTATTATCATTATATTTATTTTCATCATCATCTTCATTATTATCATTATATTTATTTTCATCATTATTTTCACTAACTTCATATTTATTTCGTTATCACCTTCCCTATTATTATTAATATATTTATTTTTACCATTATTTTCACTGTCATCATATTTATTTTCACTATCACCTTCATTATTATCATCATCATATTTATTTTCTCCATAACTTTTACTATTATCATATTTATTTTTGTCATCGCCTTCACTGTTATCATCATTATATTTATTTTTGTCATCTTTATCTTTATTATCATCATATTCACAATCATCATCTTTATTTTTGTTATTATTATTAATTTCACCATTATCATTATAATTATTTTCACTATTATTATCATTAAATTTATCTTCACCATCATTATTTTTATCAGCATCATTATTATTACTTTCATCATCATTATCTTTATTATTATTTTCATTAATACTTTCATCATTATTGTCAAAAAATATTATTATCTTCAAATGAAAAAAAGCTTGTAATTGATAAAGATGAATGTGCTGCTTTTGTAAAAGAACCTAAAGGCCCTATTTTTCAATATTTTATACTTTTAGAATTTTCCATATATGTTATACATTTCTTTGGCATTTCAGCTTCTTTAGACCATATTAATTTGACCAGTAAAAGAGAATTTGACCTTTTAATTAATTGAGCTTCATTTTCAGATTCTGAAAAGTAAACAGCATTGGAAGGGATATAATCTGAGTCTGTATCAAGTGAAATTTTCCTGTTAAATCTTGCTTTTGTTTAGTAATGTGAGTTCTTGCTGCTTGTTAGGTTTTTTTGTTTCTCAGCATATTATTATGAAAATAGAAATTAGTAATCATATATCTATATGATCACATTTTTACCTTTACTTTTATTAATTATTTTTATATTTTATTATTATATATTTATTCGTATATATATTATTTCATTATTAGTTATTATATATTTATTTCTTATCATTATATATAGTCTGTAGTACAAATTAGATATTATTACTTAAATTAGTAGATTCTTAAATTCTTGTTAATCTGTAACACTAGAATACAAATTAGAGTACAAGCCATAGTACGAGTTAATATCTCAGTTAAAGTACAAGTTAAATTGATAGTTAAGGTACCAGTTAAGATATTAACATAGATACTAGTGAAGTTTTCAGTCAAATTATAAGTAAGTTTAACAGTTAAATCTATAATGTATATAAAGGCTGAGAATTCTCTCAACTTAGTCTTCAGTTTCTTAGTTTTTAGTTCCAAGTTAGTTTTGTAGAGTTTGATAGTTAATTAGGATTTATTAAGTAATAAAGTTAATATTATAAAATCTTTTGAGTTCCTTGTTTATTGTATTTTTTAATAATTGATAAACTGTTTGTCTCTATTAACAAGTCTTCATACCACTGTTAATAGTTAATACACCTCTTTCATAATTGATCATACATAATTCCTTCTATATATAAACTCTTTTATTATAATTATTTTATCTTGAGATTAGTATTTTTATAGGTTTATTTAGTTTTGTTTCTTAATTTTAGTATTATTTTACCCCATTGTCTTTGTAAATTGTAGAAGGTTTACCTGGATAACAATTTGGTGGTAACTGTGAAATATAAAACTCCTTTTTATTCTGATTAAGAGATATTTTATTAGTATTTTAGTTATTAGTTTTGTATTATGTGTTAATGTGCATGCATTTATTCATATGAAGCAACCATAATAATTTTTTGTGTAAAAACAAATGTCTTACTTTATTTTACTTGATTTATTCATTATTTGCATGACAAATAAGATTTTAGTAATGAAAAAAATGTGTAATTTGTTTATGCATAATGTAATTTTTTTTTTTGAGTAAAATGTTTTTTTTATTTGTAAAAAATAAATGTTATATCAAATTTTTTTGATAATGCAATTTTTTATCAATGAGTTTTGTTAAATTTGATACATTCATTATGCATAACAAATAAGGTTAAAAAAATTTTTATTTGAATAAATTTTTGTTATAATTTGAGTTTAAGTTATATCAATTATTTGTAATAACAATTGAATTTTTTTTTGAGTTTGATTTTGTTATCTTGAATTTTGAGTTTTTAATATTTATTTGTAATATGAGCAGTACACTCAGGAATTTTTTTGAAAAAAGTAGATATACTTTAATATTAAAAAATTATTCTTTTTTGTCATCTTATGTAATAATCAAATAATAACATTGTCCTTAATTTTGAATGACAAATCAATTTCTTTCCACAATGTTACAGTGTATATTTCCTTAAATGTGATCGCTCAAGATGCATTTCAAGCCTTTTAAAGATGATGTAGAGTTTTATTATTATGATATACCTCCCCATGACAGGTTTTGTGAAAGTATATTGTTTTCAATTACTTAAGCAATTTAATAAATGGTAATTAATGCGAATCTGATTGTTATGAATAATTATATTGTTATTAAATTACTTACACTTAAATAATTAAAAAATTTTATTTAATCAAAATTAAGAGCATAATAGTAATTAATATAATATTGTTTCCAATTACATAAACCTTTTTAATAAATAGATATTTATGTAGAGTTTAAAAATTAGTAATTATTATTAATTATTAGTTTGATTAAATAAATTTGAAACATATGTTTAATAATAAGTAATTACTTAGCCTAACCAAATAAAATTACAAAATAGATAATCAACATGTGTTTAATTAAAAATTAGTAATAATACAAATAAATGACTTTTATCCGTGAGAATTTTTTTTTAGATAAAATTTTATGCGCAAAAACAGATATTAAAAATATTCCAAAAAAAATTAACAATGTCTACTACATTTGAAGTGATTGCATATATCAGTTCTCAAAAAGGATCCTTTTCATCTAATGCCAATGTAAGTGGAATTGCTCAATATAAAACATCTAATAATAAAATTATAGAATTTACTTACTGCTTATTTCCTGAGTCAAGATAACATGAATGTGAGGAATTTAGTATGGGTGATATGGTATGCATGGTGGGAAAATTCTGTTATGATATTATAGCCGGAGAGACTACTGGAATTGTGGTATATAAACTTTTTTATAATTAAATTTTAATTATTATATAAACATGAATATTTAATTGAAAATATATTGTATTATTTATTATATTTATTTTAGGTAACAATAAGCAAAGTAATCAAATATCCAAATAAGAATTTTAGCTCATGGGCAATAAATAATTATCCAAAAACAAGACCTTTCATTTCATTTTCAGCAGTTTGTGAAAGTGCAGTAAAGAATGGAATTTCACAAGTTAATCCTTCTTTTGCTGACAAATATGAAGGAAATGAAATAAAATATGTCAGCATGAGAACCACTTTATATGGCTGTTTGTCACGAACATCTGATATTCCACACTACTTTTTAGTTGTATATGCTCATAAATTACTCTGGTGGACTAATCTAAAATTTCAACTAAATCGCCGCTACATAATTTCAGGAATTTTAGATAGTTTTTTAGAACAAGAGAATTCAACAACAAGTTTAGTAATTCGTGCAACTGACATTGATTTTGATTTACATTCAAATTCAAATTCAGTATCTATATCTGTTCCAAATCAACATGGCACCATAAATGAAACAAGTGAAACTCCTGGCCTTACTGATTTTTTAAAATTCCAAACAACCAAAAGAAAAGATGAAATATCTTCCACAACATTTAAATCCCCTTATACAAATAAGAAAGAGAAGAAATCTATCAATGAAGATGAAATCTTACAACCAAAATCACAAATAATTGCTCACTCATCTTTTCAAAATCTTCCTCAAAAAAATAAATTTTATGCATCATACCAAGAATCTCCACAATTATTAACTTCACAATTAATAACTCCACAGTTTTCTTTCTTAGATAGTATACCTAATCAATCCTCACTTCATGAAACACCCAGTAATAGTGTTCAAGAAACTTTAGAACCAAAGAAATCTGTAAGAAAAAGGAAGGCACGCACCTATTATAAAACCTGCAACTGAATCAAAAAAAACCATTAAGAAAATCATCTCGAAAAAAGAATATCAATGATTTAGCAACTTTGGCATTAGAAAATAATACTGATAATAGTATTAATAATTCGTTAACAAGAGAAATGAGTGGTATTGAAGAAATAAATGAAGAAGAATTAAGTGAATAATAAAATAAAATTATAATTAGATAGTAAATTTTTTACAATTTTAAATATTTTTTGGTAATAAAATAATTTTTTTTATTAAATAAAGAAATTTTAATGGCTATATAATAAAAATCAAGTCTTCCAATTAAAATTATTGTGATCTAAATTTAATTAATCAAAAAAAGATTATTTAAATAAATTGTTTTGTAATACTATAATTCAGACTAACCCCCTAAATTATATAAATAAAAGTAAAACATAATGTGTTAGATGCATTAAATACATTAAATGCATTATTAATTTATTTGTTATTTATTTAATTATTTCCACTAAGAATCTTTTTAAAATCTTTTTACCTTTTTAAAGGTTACAAGTTATTTCTATAATAAAAAATAAAATAACAATAAATTTATTTATATGTATTTCCATACAAGAATAGAAAATGATAGTTGTTTCAAAAACTATATAAGCAGTTATTATAAAATCAATTTTTTTTTCATTATTAATTGATCTATCAATACTACTTTTGAAATATCAAAACTTATTAATAATTAAAACTTCAGTACATCTTAGAAAAATAATTTAACAGATAAAAATGACACACCAAATTCAAATAATGGAACTTGATTTATCAGGAAATGAACTTACTGAATTTGAATCTTTGGATGTAACATTCTTGTCAGATCATGTAACAAGCTCAATTGCAAATTCCAATCATTCAAGAGCTCCAACACAAATTAACATGACATCAAATATGGTTGTATAAATAAATCAATTGGAATTTAATTTATGGAAACCATCAAATAAACTTAAAAAATTATATAATCACTTTAATAATACATTTTAAATCAATTTCCATGTATTCCTTGTAGTTACTGTTCAAGGCTATTGTACATTAGATAGTTATATTCGTTTATATTTACATTGCCAGATCCTCGATTTAGATTACATTGGTACTGGCCTCATTATTCTTACTTAAATTTAGAAAAATATAGAAATAATCAAAACAGAATTAGATTATTGAGACAATCAGCTGCAGATCAAGAATATCTTCCAACAATAGTAGATTTAATAAAGAAAAGCACTTACTTAGGAAAAAATATTATTGATGAATTACAAACTACAACAATTTCTTTATTTATTCGTACTGGTAATACTTATTGGTGTCAAAAATAATTAAATTTAATTACAATGGTCGAAAATTTTGATTTACCTCAAATTTTTTATACTATGACAATGGCTGAAGGAAATTGAATTCATTTACATAAAATTCTAGCTGCAACTGATAATAAAGATACTCTTCCTACAAATAGACCATATCATGTTTATCAACATTATCAACATTGATTAAAATCAATACAACATTATCTTTGGAAAAATTCAGATTTGACTAAATGGGAAAAATGGTTACATCACTTTGAACGTGATGAATTTCAAAATCGAGGAGCAATCCATACACATGGATTAGTAAGTCAATTATAGAATTAATTACAAATAATATTACTAGAGCTGACCTTCCTGATGAAAATAATGAAAAGAAACTTTATGACTTGGTAAAAAATATCAAGTGCATCATTGCAATCCTATTCATTGTAATGGACCTCCTTCTCCAAGTTCCCGATGCAAATATGGATTTTCTCAACCTTTATCAAATTCTACATATCACAATATAAATGAATTAAGATTTACATATAAAAGAACCAAACCAGAGGATCAATAGATAGTCTCATATCATGCACCTACATTTTTATTTTTGGCAAGCTCATTATAATATTCAATTTGTAACTGATAGATTTTTTGCTGCAAATATGCAACAAAACCAGAACCAACTGAACTGTTTGAATTAAAAGAACAAAATGCATTTAAACAACATATTCATGTTCGCAGAATGAAAACAATAAAATTAATGTTATTATCACTTGGAAAATATGTTTGTCTTAGTACTATAGCTGTAGATTATTTATTATCATCAGCTCCTGCTTATTGAAATAAAGCAATACGTCCAATTTACAAATTAATTAATGAGCAATATACAGATCTTTATTATCAAGATGCTATTGATAAATACTTTGAAAGACCTACAGAACCAATATTTGATAATTTAACATATCAATGTATTACAGAAAATTTAAACATATATCAAATATTCCTACTCGTAGAGATTTTTGGTATGATATGAGCAATAGAATTATAGTAAAAAGAAAAAAAGAAATTTTGGTTCAATTTAGATCTAACAGTTAAAAATGCTGAAGATTTCTTTTATTAGCAATTGTTAATTAAACTTCCAGCTCGAAATGAACATGATTTAAAAGGTAATTTTGATACTTATCGAGCTTATTTTCAAAGTAAATTTCCAATAGACTATGAAAATGTTTTAAATGTTATATCTAATAGATCTCAAAGACAAACAAATCAATTTAATAGAAATCATCAAAGTTTAATTGATTAATTGTTAATAACATTGCAACAAGATGTAATGACAATAATTGGAAATCAATTATCAAAACTTATTCCATCAGTATCATTCTTTTCAAATAATGAAACTTTAATTTTACCTCCTGATCAATATCATGTATATAGCATTCTTACTACCTGTTGGAGATCAAAATCTCATCAACATCCTTTTTTCTTTGTAACTGGTTCAGCAGGAACTGGTAAATCACATATTACTCGACTTATTATAGAATTTTTAAAGTCAAAAAATGCAAATTACCTTGTAATGGCACCAACATGTGTAACAGCTCACAATGTTGATGACAAAACAATACATTCTGAATTACAAATTTCTGGAAGTATTTATAATCTCCAATCACTAGTAAATAATAATCAAGACCTTTATCAAAGATTATTAAAAGTAGAATATATAATAATAGAAGAATCTTCTATGGTTGCATCTCAAATGTTAACATTCTTAAGTACATTGTTTGGCCATATTAAAAAAAATCACTTAGAATTTGGTGGAATTTCTGTTCTTCTTACAGGAGATCTTTTTCAACTACCATCTGTTCAAGGTGATTTAATCTTTTATTCACCAGTATGGATTAACTTTTTTCCTTGTTTTTAACTACTGCTCGTTGTCAACAAGAAGATCAACCATTTTACCAGATGCTTGAAGAAATCAGAATGGAAATGTTACTGAAAATTCCATTGCTAAAATACAACAAAAAGTTCAAGAATATTATTTTACAGATAATGTATTAAATACAACTCATATTGTGGGATATAGAAATACAGCATCTACTCTTAATAATATTATT